GGCTATGTAAACTTCAATGGAGACGTCAGCTCTACTCGTATCATTGTGGGAAAATTATATTACCAGTCCTTCATCACCTTAAACGAAATAGGGTGAATACATCTCATAGTAGATAAACAAGTAAGAAAGTGTGCTACTGAAGGGGCTATACAAGGATATAGGATATATGACTAGTATAGGATAGAAGAAGAGATACCAGAACTGTGTAGCAGACAATTGGCCGAGGGATCGGCTTAACTTGTCTCTTTGACAAGTTCTAGTGTGGTGCTAAGAATGGCAAGGCTCAATGAAGATGCCGGCGAAACGTCTGGGAATGTACCAAGTCCACGGCCCGACTGTGGAAATCATCATGCTTACTATGGACTCCGAACTAGGTGTGTTTCTTTAGCTCTTCCTGCCAATATGGCCAAGTTGCGAAAATAAGGTGAAACAAATTCTGCTATTTCAATTTTTATGAGTATATTTCGAAACTAGATTTTTATTTTACAAATTGTTCTCCAAAGTAGAATGTTTATACATTAGGAAGGAAGTTCATTAGTCTGTCCGTGCTTAAGCTACTGAAAGTTTTTTCGCCTACAATAAATTGGAGAGTTTGCGGTGGAATTTTCCTTAGCCACACGTCAAGAAATTTGGCTTATCAACTGCTTGTGCTCACAATACAAATTTAACCAAGGCAACTCCATCATTAGTAGGCAAAATTGTTGTTAATTGAAGCATTGTCATTATGACATAATTAGTATTGCTTGTAGCAATCTTTAAATGTGGACATTTTATGATTTCATTTCAGCATAACCTATTCGCTATTTGAGATGTCGCTTGCGCCAAACCTACCAGTCGAAGTTATTTCCAGTTTTCGAGCTTTGGATCGGGATGGAGGTACTGCTGGTCAGTTAGCATATCGTATTGTGCTTTCTAGCTCCGTCCTTGTACATCTTCTTCAACTTGACCCCTTTACGGGCGATCTACGCCCAGCAATCACATCTCAATCATTCGCCCCACCTAGTTTCCCCAGCCCAGAATTGAGGGAACGATCGACGGCCTCAGCTACAGGCATTCCAAGCTGGAGCTGGTTAGATGAGATGGTTGAGGTTTGGGAGCAACAAGCGGAACAGATTTCCGCTGGGTGTCAGTCCATGATGGGGGAGACCGGCCAACTTGATGGAATGGTGAACTGGGAAGACGGTGAAAAGATGCAGGAAACGGAGGATTCTCGGAAAATACGTTGGAATTCGAAACAGATGTCTTTTCCTTCGGCTTCTATTAGACCAAACTCAAGCAGAAGCCCGAGAATACCGCGCAACCTGGCAGACAAAGCTGAGAGATATTCTAATTTTGGAACGTTTAAGACAGCATATGACTCAATGGAAGCAAGTTTAAAGAGCTCAGAAACCAAGGATGGTGCTTGGAGGAGTATAAAGTTTCTTGTGGAGGCAAGGTAATCTTTATCTGCCATCATGCATTACTACTTGCTTATCTTATTCTTCCCAAGCTAGCTGGTATGATGAAAAAGATCGGCCTATTCTCTGCCAGACTAAACGGTATCCGTCTATTTCTCATTCTATGATAATACAACATATGGCAAAGTATTGTGCAGCACTATGCCATAATATACTGCGCCAAACCATATTGTACTACACTAAACTCGAAATTTTTATATTCATTCTACTAACGTTTAATATACGAAGAAAATGCCGGTTTCAAAGAATTTTCTGAGAAAAGATTGTTGTGAAGACTTTCATTTCGTATAAAAATGCATGATGAAGAGATTCGTGGGTCAATCTCACAAGAAGATACCGACTGATTTGCGTTGTACTTCAGTTGTTTGGCCTTAATACGGCGTTCAGGCAGATGCAGTCCACAAGACATCCTGCAACTTTTCAGGAGAAGACGGGGTGAACTTTTGTTAGTCAGGTGACAGACATCGCCAGAGCTGGGACTCATTCTTGCAAAAGTCTCAAATCAAGAAGACTGAGCGGCTTTTTTCTATATAATATATATATGAAGAGAAGCCAGGTTTCGAAGAGTCCCTTATTAGATTGATATGGATATGCCTTCATTTCGTTTAAGAAGGCGGGTCGGAGGGATTAGTAGCTTACATGCGAAGAAAAGTTTGGTTTCGAGGAAATTCTTGTTTCATAAATTTTGAGCTTACTTTCATATTGAGTAAAAGTGTTAAGTGAAGAGATTCAAGGTCGAATCTCTTCACCCAACACTTTTACTCTAAATGGAATTAAGCTCAACAATTAGTAGCTTATCCACATTGGATACCGAAGGATTTTTGTCTGTTGATTTGTGCGAAGAAGACCTTGGCTCACTGTCATACAACCCAAATGACTCCGTGTTCAGCTTTCGTCCATCATGTGACGGACATGGTCGAAGCCAGAAATCATTATTCACGAACAATCACCAAAAGCACTAAACCAAGAAAAGTAGCCAGCTAGGATCCTACTTGTTATACCTCACTCTGGGATCTTAATGAGGTTGGTTGTTTTATGCTTCTTCTACATGTATGTAAGTTCCCCTTCTTTCATCACTTTGACTCGATTACATGCTTGTAGGACAAGTATAGAACATGAGATGTATTTACCCAATTTCGTTTAAGGTGATGAAGAACTGGTAGCAGAAGAATTTTCCCACAATGATATGAGT